CGTCGCGCCTACAAAGATTTCTCGGATAAGTCGTGGATGGCGACGGGCAAGTATAAGCAAGAATAGCCATAAATGATTACGTTATCATTAGTCTGTCAATTCGCAACGGTTTTCATGTCGACTATGATATCGTAATCATTTATGGCTATTCTTGCTTATACTTGCCCGTTGCCATCCACGACTTATCCACTATCTACGAGCGCCACGCCGTACGCGACGCCCACCAGCGCGGCGAATAACGATTGTCTTGCCACATACCGCGGCGAACGCTGCTTCACTTGCGTCGCGTTAGGAGACACGATCTTCCAAGACAAACGTCCTTCAGGGCAAGCCCAAGCTATGGAAGACTCCGCCATTCCCGACGCTATGGGGAGGATTCCCAGGTTAGCACCAGCAGTCCTGTGGTTCCATGCACCAGTCCTAAGTCGTCCCTAGAGTGTTGGCTGCAGATAAGAGCTGGCACTCACGACTCCTTATGCCTCGACAGATGGCAGTGTACCCAGATCTCATTTGTCAGGGTCCATCTGTCGGTCTCCCCTTCTTCGAACCCATCAAAAGAAGTCTCTGGAAGAAGTGGTAAGTGGAGAAGAGAGTTGAGTACTCTCGCGTTCCAATTCAAATATTGTAATGCTACTCTGTGCAGGGAAAGAGCGAACCGTCGGACATGCACCTTCAGAGGGGAGCAAGTCTCGTAATGACAGATGGTCATGACTAAATTTACAAAACACAGGTCCTGAATGGTGCCTCACAACTTCGACAAGCGGTCAAGACAAGTACCGAAGCCCAGCCTTCATGATAGCGGAAGTCATGTCAGGGAGACCTAGCAAGAATCGAAGAGCTCGGCAAGTTCACAATACAACATCCCTCCGTCCTGTGGGCTCTCTTGGCTGCAACTTACAGCAAATTGGATGAAGTTAGTCGGGGGTGGCTGACTTTTTTGCTTCCTCTTCCCAAGAGAAATTTCTGACTCGAGGATGTGCACTGCAGAATGATGTCTCGATTATACTCTAGATTGATTTCTACCTAGAGTGAGTAAGAAAGTAAAGAAGAAGATCGGAACAATGGCAAGACTTTCTCACCACCCCAACACGTCTTCGCACCTCTGACCAAAG